AGGTGCCTGTGGTCCCAGCTATTTGGGAGGCGGAGGCAGGAGACTCGCTTGAGCCCAGGAGTTGGAGGTTGCTGTGAGTTGTGATGCCACAGCACTCTACTCAGGGGGACAGCTTGAGGCTCTGTCTCAAAAAAAAAAAAAGGTGACCCCTCAGCTCAGGTTTGCCCAACCCTAAGGCCTGTGTTCTTAACCATTCTGTCTGGGTTTCCAGAAGCTCAGCCACTCCTAGACCACCTTCAAGATTCTTCCCTACACACCTGTCTGATTGAGTCACTCAGGGTTTTTCTTTAAATCATCTCGATTTGTTTTTACTTACTTGCCTAATCTAGCTTCAGTCTCAGCAATAATGTCCCTAAGATTATCAGCAACTCATGCTGGTTGTATCTCTTCTAATGTTCAATAAAAATATCACTATTGAAAATATGAGTGACCGTCCTTGATCAAACCTGGCCTCCTCAGTGGTGAAACAACCTGAGGCCATGTGCTCCCTAACTTGACACCGAGAAAGGATGCCTTATGTGGGGCGTTTTCTTGCCAGGAAAACATAGCCTGAGTCCCTAAGTACAGGGACATCATCGGACAAATCCAGAATGTGGGACATCCTACAAGACAAGTGCACAGGACTCTTCAAGTCAGGGCCACAAAAGGCAAAATAAGTCAGAGGATTGTTCCAGAAAAAGAGACTAAAGACACGAGACAACCAAATGTCATTCTCCATGCTGGGCTTTGGTCCCAGCTCGGGAGGAAGAAGCCGCTCTAAAGGCTGTCACCAGGCCTCTGGGGACCGAGCTGTGGACAGGCAGTTGTGTGCCATGACAGGGTCCCTGCAGATTCTCCTGGGGGTGCCCTAAGTGTTTAGGGTAAGGTCAGCAGTGGAAAGTGGGACTCTGGAAGGACACTGCCCTATCATTTCAATGTTCCTCTTGATGTTTCAACATGAAAGTTGGGGGAATGTTTGTCTTCACTCCAAGATCTGTGTGCCCCCACAACACCGGGAGTGCTGAGGGGTCCTCCTCAGGGTACTTCCCTCAGCAGCTCTGACCTCCACAGGCACTGGAAGGGAGAGGCATGGGAACAATTTAAGGTTCTGTTTCCCACCACCACTTCACTCAGACGCCAAAGCGACCTTCCCAGGCTCCATGTCCAGCCCCTCCCTTCCCCCTCCACTGGCTGGGTACCTCCAGCCAAGTGTGAAATTAACAGGGCCTCTGCCTCTCCCCAAGGTCCAAGCTCAGGGCTCAGGGCTCAGGGCAGGGCAGAAACACCTGCTGTCCTTGTGCCACCAGCATCATGGGTCCCTTACCTAAACACCCACCTGGAGACTCCACTGAAGCTCCTGACCGTTCCGGCCTCTGGGCCTTCGCACCATGCCTGCCA